GCGTCGTGTTTGTGGCTTATTTTGGTTTTGGAAGTTCTGTTCCATGGAGCCCAAGCAATGGATTTTTTTGCAGTAGGGAAGGAAAATGTGTCTCCCTGGCACAACAAGCAGTCTTTGCTTCACTCACAGTCTCTTCCACCTCCTTCCACTGCTGTCCCCAGCTCTTTGAGCACAGTACTGAGCAGCGCCAAGTAGTTTCTTCTTTCTTCCTTTCTTTATTGTCTGTACCTTTAGCTGTTTCACAACCTGAAAATGCAGTTCCCCTATCTGTAAAACATGTCCCCCTGCTTCCACTTAACAGCAATGAAAATCACTATGAGCAGAGGCCGGACATGGCCCTGAGAAGGTGCATGGTACAGACCAACAAGAGGTCCTCAGGAGCCTAAACTATCTGCAATAGTGTAATTTTTCTCATGCATTCTATTTTTCTCTCTCTGCTGTTAGAAGAAGCAAAACCTTGGAAGAGGTGGACTTTAATGGCTTTACCATAGACAGTAACATTGCAGAAGGACACTAAGACTTTGTTTTTCCAGTTACACTTTTAAGATGTCTTTCCGTGTCAGGTGCTGGTAATTAAAACTGGTTGCTACCCTAAAAGAGCACAGAGTTATTAAAACAGCAGGTCTGTGTCCTGATGAAGTACCTCCAAGGTTGGCAAGGGCAGTTAGGAGGCAATGCCCAATGCCCGGCTGTGCTTTTTGTGCTCGTGGTGCTGGTGGTCCTCTGCAGGGCAGCTTGTTCAGGGTCTGCTGAGCCGTGGCAGCAGCCCTTCCCAGCAGATAAACTGCAGCTGGGCATTGCAGAGCCTGTCCCTGGCAGCTCAGAAAACATCCAAAAACGTCCCCAGCTGCACACACAACATTACTCACGGGCCAATTTGTTACACCAGGGTGGAGTCTGCTAGAAATGAAAGCAGTAGCAGCACACCAAAAATATCCTCTATCTACTTACCGCATATCCCAGTATCTCAGGAAGCAGATAAAATCCCGTCTGCTGCCTCCTCCTTCAACACTGACTGCTCTGGTATCCTATAAATCAGCAGGGTATATTTGCCCTAATTCTCCTGTCCACATGGTGACATTCTTCATTAAAGATAGTCATTTCACACTGTAAATTATTTGCCAGATCCACTGAACTTTGCCTCCACAATCCCAGTATGAATTCATACCTGCAGGATTTTAATATATGATGACATACCATCAGCTCATGAGGATAACTCTTTTATCCGTGCATAATCCCAAATTGCTGTGTTTCTTCCTAGCCCATAATCAGCCTATGGCCGTTGGGGAGCAAAAGAGCCACTGAAAACTAATTTATAGGCAAAGGCTGTTTTCCTCATTGACTCTTGGTTGCTCTAGCTACTTCCTGCTCTTCACAAGGAAAGTAGACACAAATGGGAAGAAATTAATCAGCTTCATTTGGAAAAGGAAAGAAAATAAAAATGGTAAAATAAAAATATTTTTAAATTAAAATTAACTAGTAAATAAAATAAATAAATTAGGTGGTCTTTTGATCTGGGAAGTTGGCACCTTGGCTGCATCAGTGCTGAACTAGGTGACTGAAAGGAACTGGAACTTAATAAAAGCATCTAGGAGTTTCATTTATAGAATCATAGAACAGTTTCAGCTAGAAGACACCTTCAAGATCAAGACCAACCTTTTCCTAGCCCTATCAACACCACAGAACCATGTAATTCAAGGCAACATCTACTGGTCTCTTAAACACCTCCAGGGATGGTGACTCAGCCACCTCCCTGGGCAGGCTGCACAACCCTCTCAATAAAGAAATTCTTCCTAATATCCATCCTGAACCTCCCCTGGTGCAACTTAAGGCCATTTCCCTTTCTCCTATCACTTGCCACTAGGGAGAACAGACCAACCCCTGCCTCACTACAACCTCCCTTAAGGTAGTTGTAGAGAGCGATGAGGTCTCCTCTCAGTCTCCTCCAGGCTAAACAGCCCCAGATCCCTCAGCTGTTCCTCGTACGACACGTGCTCCA